CCACCTCCGTCCTGCGGGGGCCACTGCGCGCCCTGGAAAACCCCAGGAGGGGCGCTTCGGCCCGAAGAAAGGCGGAGTCGGGACGAAGGGAGGCTACGAGGCTGCACCCGGGGCCCTCCAACACCGTCCAGGACTCCGGCGGGCACAGCCGCTTGGGAGGGTCGCAGAGTTGGGGGTGTGGAAGAAATGGGGCGCTCAAGGCACGGAGACGAAGCTGGATCCGCGGAGAGGCCCAGCCTGCCGCGAAGCAGCCATCAGCAGTGGACTAATCAGGGACCTGGGATGGATCAGGGGCCCGGGCCTGCAGAGCATCCCCTTTGCCTCGCAAAAGGCGACTTGCAGGCCTCTTGATCTTGGCCCCCAAGGAGCCTTGGGAGTTTTCCTTTAACTGGAAGAGCCACATCCAGGTGATGGCGTCAGCAATCGTACCCCACCAGGTGAGGGTCAGTCAGGAACCCTCCAACCATGGGAGCTGTCCCGGTTCTCCAAAGAGGAGGCAAGGGAAAAATCAGGAAGAAGGCAAGAGGGAAAAAAGCCGTGGGGATTTTTTTTTTTTTTTTAATAAATGGTGCAAGAGCGGTGCGTTCTGCAAATCGCCTGGCAATTCTTTACTTTTCCACCAGTGAACGCCCTGGAGCTTCCTCTTCAGCTCCCAGGTTCATCCCTTCCTCCGCATTCCTGCTGTCTTCACTCCTGTCTACCCCTTATCACCTTACACTGGACTCCCCTGGGCTCTGGCAACAGCCTGCCCTCCCCCGGAACCTCCTCCCCGGAAACTCCTCCCTGCAGCCCTAGTAATGGCCCAAAACACCCCAGTCATATCTCCACACACGTGCCTCTGCTGCATTCTGGCAATCTGTCCAAACTTTATTTCCACTGATGCTTGACGTTAAACCCCTCTGCCCCTTCCTGTCTTCCCTAAGAGCTACCACATCATACATAGGCAAAGTTAATGTTTATTCAAATCTATTCTGTCCACCACACTTGCAGGGCCTCTCTGCCCCCATCCTAAACTGTTTCTGCCTTTTTTCCCAGTGCCGGGGATGAAATATTTTACCACTGAATTATACTCTCACCCCTGTGTTCTGGTTTTATACAAATAACTGTGCATGTAAATTCAAGAATCAAGTAAGTGATATGCAGAGTGAGTCCTGGTTCCCAGTGAATTGACTGCATGACCTTGGTCAAATGACTTAACCTCTCAAAGCTTCAGTTTCCTCTTCTTAAAACAGAAATTACCTGATAGGTTTTTCAGGTAAACACATTGCTTCTGCAGTAGTAATTAAAATTGTTCACCAAGTATCTTCTGTTCTTTTCCTTCCCCTGGGATATGGTAGAAATCTACTATCCCAACCCACTTGAGATTAGATGTGGCCATATGACTTGCGGAGGTCAGTAGAATGAAGGCACAAGTAATTGTGCTTTTTCCACATGGAGACTTTAGAGTTAGGTTGTATACAACCAGAGATATGAAAAATTGTGCTCTGTATGTGTAATAAGAATTGTAATGCATTCTGCTGTCATATATAAAATGTTTAAAAAGGAAGAAAAAAAAGCTTTTCTCTTTTCTGATCTTGACTATCAGGAAAGTGCAGAGTTAGAGAGCCTGGGTGTCTAGGTAAAGGTGGTAGAACACTGTCAGGTAGCTTGTATTAGAAAAGTCCGGTGAGTAAAGATTAACCTTTTCTCGTATTAAACCAGTGAATTTAATGGGTGTTTGTTATAGCGGCATAACCTAACTGATACTTCCAAGTGCAAAGGACTTAATCTATATCTGTTGATAGACTGCCCCTATCATATGCTGGTACCATTTTATGACAATCCCTCCTCTGTTAGGTAACTGTTATAATTCCTATATTCAATTGAGGAAATCATATCAGAAAGGCCTAGTACTTTGCAGCACCAGGATCAAAACCCTACCTATCCAGTTCCAAAATTCTTGCTCACCCTGACTTCCATACATGCCAGGCCACCTCTCCTTAAATGGGAAGGATGAAAAACACCCAGTACAATGCCTGGCATGCAGTCATGCCCAAGCCCTGAGACTTCCTCTCCAGCCAGAATTCCTACAGCATTGATAATTTGAACCACTTTCCTCCAGCACGATGTTATCATGCATTGTGTGAGTGTTTTCACACAGAGAAAGCATTTCCTCCAACCAGGGCCCAGGCTCCTTGGTTAAAAGTGTGAGTTTCAGAGTCACACGAAGTGGATTTAAATCCCTGTTCCACCACTTTCTCTGATGATCTTGGACAATTATTTTTTCCACTCACTCTGTCTCAGTTTTTTCATTTGTAGATGATGATAACAATATATGTGTCATCGACCAGGGTCACCATATGTTTCACAGGGTTGGTGTGGAGTTTAAGGGGTGTAACACACTTGATGAATCACAGTTGTTAATATTATTTCTTTTCTTCCACAGCTCCTAGAATTCTGAGCAATTACAAGCAATTTAATCATGCTGCTTGGTTAGACTCTGATTTCTGGTTTTGTGCTGAATACAGGAAAGAAGTTGTAACATCTGCACTTGGAAGCATAACATCCACACTGTCCTACATCTTATATTTTACATAAGGCTCATTACCTGTCCTTGATTACATCTGATATTTCAGGTGGATTTAAAAGAAAGGTGTGTTTGCTTTCTTGAGAAATCTTTGTTCGGGAAACATATTAATCCACCTATACATACTACCTCTAACCATCATGAAACTGCAAGGTGGGTGTTAAGATTCCCATTTCATTCTTGAGAAAACTGAGTTTCAAAAAAGTTAAGTAAGTTGCCATGGTCAGACAGTACCTGCCTGCATCAGGATTTGAACTCGTGTCTCTGATCCTAAAGCTTTGCTATTATTACCTTGCCCACCTCTATTCCAAGCTGCCTACCATCTCAAGGCTTGCGCAGTAATGCCCATGCTTTGCTTGATATTGTTCTTCCATCTTTCTAGATGAGGTTTGGAACACTACCCTAGATGATGACATTTCTAACTTGATGTTGTGTGGTGGGCAAGGTCACGTTAAACAACAATCAGACCACGCATATTCTTCACTGTGGCAAAAGAAAGCTAATTGTCCACCCAAGACTCATGTTCCTCCATCAATAGGGAGCTGACAGCTCCTCAGCCAGGAATAGAGCTCCCAGCCTCTCTTGTGGGCAAATGGGCCATGGCACTGGTGCCGGCCAGAGGAACATGAGCATAAGTGAGAGCAGGCTGTTTAAAAGTTCTGTGCTTTCTCCACCTTCCTCAGCTGGAAACAGAGGACTCCAAGTCCCCAGGGGATGGTGCAGCTAAAGGTAGAAGAAACGTGGGTCCTTACATCACCTTGAAGAATAACACCATTCTCTGACCAGGACATGGTACTGGTACATGAGCAGAAATCAACTTCTGTTTCCCTACGTCTCTGAAATTAGAGGTTCTATGTGTTCTTGCACAAGTGCTGCCATAACCAACACACACAGCTTACACTAAGTCTGTACCACACATGACATGGGAAGTGGAAAACTGTAGCAATCCCATGAACCATGAGAACCAAAAATGATGTTTTTATATATTTTTGATCCTCTTGTTTCAAGGGAAAGTCGATTACAGAGGGCAGGGTCAGGTTTTCCTTGAATTTTTCCAGTGTTTCATGTACCAAAGACCAAATAAGAGGAATATCCAACACTCTTATTGAAACAGTACAAAACAAACTTACTCATTCCATAATATTTTCCTGTTCTGTGCCAGGCATTGGAGACCAAGGGTGTGCTGGAACTGCCATTGTACTAAGCCCAGTCCATAGCATTCAACTGGCCTCCAGCCTCCAAACTTGGGAGAAACCAGCCTACTTGAATATGGACTCCTACAGTTTGGATTTTAAGTACTGCCCAAGGCCCAGGTGTTAAAGGTCCAGCACCCAGTGCAGTACTCTTAGGAGGTGGTGGGAACTTTAAGAGGTGAGGCCTAGTGGGAAGTCAGTCTTTGTGGGGGGTGTCCTCGAAGGGGATTGTGGGAGCCCAGTCTCTTCCTCACCCCTTCCCATCCAGGGCCTGAAATGAGCAGCTTTGTGTTCCACCAGGAACTCCTCACCTTGATGTGCTGCCTCATCCCAGGCCCAGAAGCAACAGGGCTGATCAGTCATCGTCCGAAACCTCCAAAACTGAGCCAAGATAAAGGTTTTCCCTTGATAACTTTACTATTATCTCACATATATTTTTCCTGTAATGAAAACCTAACACAAGGACTACATTAGTTAATACCCTCCCTGCAAAAAAAAAAGTACTTAGAACAGCAAGAGAGGCAACAGCACCCAATGATGGCAGCTGTCAAGACCTTTTACCACCTCTCCACTGGAATGATTTCGTGTATGAAGGATAAAAGGAAAAGTCTTCACGGGGTTTGATAGGTGACATCGGAAACAGAAGAACAGGTTGAGAAATACAGAATCTAAAATGCTCCAAAATCTAACACTCTGTGAGGACCAACACGATGCTACAAAGGGAAACTCTGTTCCATGCACAAAATTATTTAAAATGCTACGTACAATGACCGTCAGCCTCTGTGTAGAACACATACGCGAAATGTGAAGGAACTGCATGCTTCTACGTAAGCTATCTCAAGATAGCTTATTATGTACAAAATATTCCAAAATCTAAAAAAAATTGGAAACCGGAAATACTTCTCGTTCCAAGAATTTTATTAATAGAATTGGTGTCACCTACCAGGATTCCACTGAAATAACCCAGACTAAGTTTTCCTGCCACTTAGGTCCTTCATTTAGTAATTGTGATGGCAGAGGGGTCCCCTTGGGAAGAGCATCCCTGGGGGTATCCACCATAGTAGGGGGGCAACCAGTGGGACAGGAGATGATCTATACGACGCTCCAACACTGATATTCTTGATTCCTTTTGGAGATTTCAGCTCTGAGTTCCTTGCACGTTCCTTCTTTTCCTCCTTCCTTTGTGTACAGGTGAAGGGGGCAGGGCAACGGGATGACTGGCAGCCCTTCCATCCACCTGGTTTTCTCTGCCCTGAACTTCAAACTGAAAAACAAGGTAGCTTCCTCCTAAGGGAAGGAACAACAAGGGTTCATGAGGAGACTTTATTATTCAAAAAAGAAACTGAAATGTGATAAATTCCCATCAACCGGGAAAACACTGGCAGGACTCCAGAACAGAAAACAACAACACGGTGCCACCCTGGGAAGAGTGGCTGCCAGAAAGTCCCCAGAGTCGACAGATCATGTGCAGGATGTTCTGGGCCACGTGGGAGGAGACCTCCAATTGGCTGCAAGGAAGAAAGGAGACCTCCAGCTGCAAGGAAGCGGCTGGTGGCTTCACGGAGCTAAACAGAGGGTAGGAAGAAATATAAAAAAATTCTTTCCTACCTCCTGGAGGAGGCTAATGCACTCAACAATATTAACAAAGGGCTTACCTTGGCCCATTATGATTCTAGGTACTGAGGATAAAGAAGTGAACCCAGAGTCCCTTTCCTCATTAGGGTCGCAGACAGAACAATGAGCCATGGATACACAAATGCTTGGCCTGTCAGATGATGATAAGGGTCAGCAAGAAAAATTGGGTAGTTTAGGAGAATAGAGAATAATGGAGGTGGGGAGGGAAGACTTTCTGATAAGGTTGATGTTAGAACAGACACCTCAAAAAAGACAGCAAGGGGTATATAATCTTGATATCTGGGGAATAATCTTCAAGACACAGGGACTAGTACATGCAAAGGCCCTGAGGCAGGAATATTCTTGACGTGTTCAAAAGAAAAAAGTCAAACTTCTGTGGTTGAGCAAAATGGGAGGAGAGTGACAGGAGTTCAGTCCATGGAGGACAGAGTCCTTCAGAAAGCCATTGGCCAAGTCTGATTAGATCAGTGTCATAAACTCTTTCTCTGGCCACTGCATTGAAAATAAACCTGGACAAGGAGGGACGTGATTTGAGGGGGAGGAGGAGGTAGCTGTGATAAATCTAAGAAGCATCTATACTTAGGCCATCTCCCCAGTATCATCCCTCCTCCACCATCATCCATTCCTAAAGTGCACATCTGACCCTGTGTCCCCCTCCTCCACGACTCTGGTGATACCTGTGACTTTCAGACAAAGTCCAAACTCCTTATCCAGACCCAGGGCAGCATGGCAGGGCAATCAGAGCACTGCTATTAGCAGCAGAAACAGGATTAGAATCCTGGAGGCTGAGGCAGGAGGATCTCAAGTTCAAGGCCAGCCTCTGCAACTCAATGAGACCCTGTCTCAAAAAATAAAAAAGGCTGGGGATGTAGCTTAGTGGTAGAGCCCCTCTGGCTTCAATCCCTAGGACTAAATAAAAGGATCCTAGCCGTACTATTCACCAGAGTGTGACTTCACCCAAGATACTCAACCTCTCCGACCGTGATTTGTTCTTTCTCTCGTCCTTGTCCTGAGCAATGTCACCTGCAAGTCAGCTCTGTGAGAACAGGGTTTGTCCATCTTGTTCCCTGGTGTATAATTCTGGAGCAGAACCTGTAACAATGCCTAGCACATAGTAGGCATTCAACAAAGAGGCATGGAGTCAATGAATAGGCTAATTTGGGAGCAAGCACAGTGGCTAGCGTGAAGGGGTCCCCATGGCACTCCTGTCCTTTGTTGAGTGTTGCTCCCTTTTCTTTCTCTCCCTGGTCTGACCCCACCAGGACTCTTCTGGTTCACACCCACACCACCCCCTTCCTCCAAGCACCCTGCATCCCAGGGGCACTTCTTGCCAATGTATGCCTCTTGGCCTTTGCACATGCTGTGAGACTCCTCCTTTCCTGTCCTGTCAAGAGGAGACCTGGCAGAAGATGTCACCTCCCCTCTGACCCTGCGCTGGACAGAACTGAAGGCTCAATCCTCATTCCCCAGTGCATTCTGTTCCTGGGTCTATGATAGCACCTACCTCATGGTACTACAATCACTCCATTGTGTGCCCTGCTCCCCGAGTCGCCTGGGAGCTCTGGAATGGCCAGGGCCAGGACAAAAACATTGTGTGAGCCACACGTATAATTCCAACTATTCTGTTAAAAACAAAAAGAAGAAACAAGAGAAATTGTATCTAATAATAAATGTAATCTAACCAGATATGTCCGCGACCGCATCATTTCAGTATGTGCTCAATATAAACATCTCATTGAGGAGATACTTCACAGTCTCTTTTTGTACTAAATCTTCCAAATCTGTAGTGTATTTTACACTAATCTCAAGGCAGAGCTAAATTTTCAGTGGTTAAACTGAAATGTAATCCCAGCAAAACAATAAAGTTGTATTTAGCAGAAGAACATTTGACACTGCTTCAAGTTTTGCATAATTTGAATTTAAATCTTACTTAATTGCATAGAATTTTTAGTTCTCAAGTCCCGTAGCCACATGTCAAGAGCTCAGTGGCCACATGTAGTTAGGGGCTACTATACCCTAAAGTACAGTCTAGATCTGAACTCTTCTTTATAATGGTAGTAGAGATCTGGCTTATAATGGGTGCCTTACAAACACTGGATGGATGGATGGATGGATGGATGGATGGATGGATGGATGGATGGATGGATGGACTCATTTAACTTCTTCCCTAGTGTTCTATTTCCCAACCTGGAAATGCATGTCCTAGGAAACAGACTGAAAACGAGCTCAGAGAATTGGTGAATCCCTAGAAACCTTCCTTGGGCCCCCATTTGCTCGTTTTCCCCATTAGCAGTAAAATTCTCTCTGATCCACGTGGTTCAGTGACCCAGCACCTCCATGTCTTTGCTCAGCCGTCACCTTTTCTGTGGGGCCTTTCTGACTTTCCTGTTGAAAATCACAGTTCCCCTCTCTTCCCACCCTTCCCACCACTTTCCTCCGGTTGATGTTTTATTCTTCATTATTGCATTTACCTCCATGTAATGCAGGATGTAATTTACCTTTTTGTTGTGTTTGTCTCCACAGAGCAGGGACTGTTATCTTTATTATTCTCACATGAATCCCTGGTAGCCAGCGGGTAGTAGGTGTTCAATTAGTATTTGTGGGATGGATGGATGGATGGATGGATGGATGGATGGACAGATGGACGGACAGATGCTTGAGTTCCAGCTCTTCCGCCTGCTTGCTCTATGACCTCAGGAAGTGATTGATCTTGAGCTCCCTCATCTGTAAAACAGGTTTAGCAGTGATACTTGCCAGGGAACACTTCTTGTGGTAAAATCCTGCAGGGTTTGCCCATACCTTACAGGACTTAGACAGTGTTCATGAATGTTCAGCACATGCCTTTATCAGCACGTGGTGAGCCCCGACAAGATGGGAACTGCCATCATTACTGCTTCAATAAGGATACTATCGTTAGATTTATTCTACCAGGTCTATAACAACTATGTAATCAATTATAATTTTCTAAGTAATTTGATTCTAAACAAACAAACAAACAAAAAAAAACCAGGTCAGGAAAACATAGGTCAGGGACCTGGATCCCTATGGAACTGCCTGTATCTGTCTGTTCTGTTTTTATTTGTATTTTTTTATCCATGGGAGATAGGATCTTGGGTCCCGCTTTGCCAGGACCTGGGGCAGCTCATTGTCAGGCCACATCCGTTATGTTTACTGTCACCAGGGACTAAGGCTTTAAAAGCAAGAATGAGAACATTCCAGGCAGGTCACCAGAGCGCCCGTGACGGCAGAAGCTCGGTGTCCACCTGCTCTGGAGCAGTCACAGAGCCCTAAGACAGCCTCGGGCCTGGCAGATGGGCTGGGGTGGAGCCAGGCGGCCCAGGCAGCCAGCTGGCCAGGGACGTGTGAGCTGCTTCCAGGCGGATGAGGCGTGTGCCCTGGATTCCTCTTGAGGGCCTCTGCTTCTCCAGCTCCCTCTCCCAGTCTCCTGCCTGGAAGCCCCTCGCCCACCGGGTACCTTTTGGATCTTCCTCCCTTCATGGTGCTCTACCCCCAGCTGCTCATTCCTGCATTCAGCACCGTATGAACTGAGCATCCTGCTGCCAGGGTGGGGATCAAAGGTCCTCTGTCCTGAGTCCTACCCCTTCCCCTCAGCGTTCACAAAACACTCCCGAGTGGTCTCTCTGCGTCCTTGGAAGGACATTTTATCTGGACTTAGATACTTTAATCTTCCCCACTTTTCACATGATTTGCCAAGAGATTAAGATTCAGACCTGACGTCTGGCAGCTTTTAGTGACACCTTAGCTATGTCACATCTCACACAAACGCCATGAAAAGTCAGTTCACTGAAAGATAAAGGCCACTGGATTGTATCTAAGAAAGCCGCATATCACACACGATGTGGTCCAGGACAGACAGGACAGAAACTTCTGGGAGTGCAGGTGAATTGGTCTTACCGGACCTGTCTTCTCCTGGGCCCTGTCAAACAGCCGTCCTCCTCAGGATTCCTGAGACATCTGAACTCAGAGCGCCCACTGCCGTCGTGAACAAGGCGTGGGCACACAGGTGTGGACGACACCCCGCCCTCCCAGCACACCTTCTGTCCTCTCTGTCTTTAAACCCCCAGTTCTCCTCCAGGAGGCGCGTTGAGGGCCTTTACCAGGAAAAGCATCTTACCACAGCGCCACCCAGTGGCTGAGTCTCTGCCCTCTAAAAACTTCTCCAACACAAGAAACCGAGTTTGCCTCTGGGCGAGTCAAAGCACAAAACTTCTCTAACAACCAGGACTGAGAAAAAGAAGTTGGCCAAAGGCAGGGAGGGAGTGGGTGTTCAGGGGAGACCCAGCAGGCATGATGCCCTCAGGGCAGGGGCAGGGAAGTTCTTGATGAAGAAGATGTTGGCAGAAATTCATTGCATCAGATTCTTAGGCCTGAAGTGACCAACTCTTCATTTTTTATAGATGGGGAAACTGAGACCCAGAGAAGTTCATGCTCTTACAGTCTGAAGGAGGGCGATGGTGGGTCTGTGGGATGCCCTCAGATTCATGTGTGTCTAACACAGAGGTGTTACGGCTCCCCGGCTTTACAGATAAAGGTAGATGGGGGGGCCAAACCACTATGGCCCACCACCTATTTTTGTGACTTCTACAAACTAAGAATGGTGTTTCCATTTTTAAGTGGCTGGAGGGAGGGGGAATCAAATAAGAAGAGTATTTCATGACACTGAGAAATCATATGAAATTCAGAACTGAGCGGCATAAGGAAAGATTGACTGGACTAAAGCCATGCCATTTATCCGTGTCCTTCTGTGCCTGCTCCGGAGCCCTGAGGCACAGGGTGCAGTGTCAACAGAAATTGTATGGACGGCTTCCAAAGCTGCTAGTATTTATTTACTATCTGGCCCTTGAGAAAAAAAAGAAAAAAACTTACAAACTCCTAGAATAAAGCCAAAGACCTTGAAGAATGGTGGGGGTGGGGGGTGATATGATGGAAGAAAACAGATAGGAAGCAAGAAGGAGGCCATCTGTCGCTACCTATGATCTGAAAGACCAGAGTAAGGGTGGAACTCCCCAACAGGTTTGTTAGGTCAATGAGTTGAAAAGTCAGATGCAGAAACTCTTGGCCCACTCTGAAGGACTGACCGTGTTGCAGTCCATTCTGATTTATTAGATTAGTGATCTCCCCATACTTCCCGCCACATCGCACAACTGCTCTTAGGAGAAAAAAAAACAAGTAGCCACCTCAGGGCCTTCCTCATGTTGGAAGGGAACTTAGGGAACTGAATGTGTCCTTGGGGTGTCTCCCTACAGCTCAGTCCCTCAGCCTTGTGCCCAGCTCTCACTCCTGGGCTTCGGGGTGCACACAGCCCTCTCTTCCAGGCAGCACCAGCAGCTCTTAGGGGGCCGAGGGCAAGTGATGATAGACTCTGGCCCCGGGGGATCGGGTCCCTGCACTGAGAAAGAGGAGGCCGTGGGCAGTTCCCCGGGAAGTTCATGCAGACAGGCCAGGACCTACTGCAGCGGCCGGTCGGTGAGCAGTCCCCTTGGCACAAACTGCCCCAGCACAGAGGCAGCAAGCACAGCGTGCGGGCCCCCACTGTCTTTACCTAAGTATTCCTGCAGGTCTCGCCGAAATACAATGTAAACGCTATGCAAAAAAAAAAATCACTAGACTGTATTGTTTAAAGGATAATAACAAGAGTCTGTACATATTCTGTAGAGATGAATTTTTATTTTTTTTAATTTTTTAATTTTTTTTATTATTGGTTGTTCAAAACATTACAAAGCTCTTGACATATCATATTTCATACATTTGATTCAAGTAGGTTATGAACTCCCATTTTTACCCCGTATACAGATTGCAGAATCACATTGGTTACACATCCACGTTTTTACATAGTGCCATACTAGTGTCTGATGTGTTCTGCTGCCTTTCCTATCCTCTACTATCCCCCCTCCCCTCCCCTCCCATCTTCTCTCTCTACCCCATCCACTGTAATTCATTTCTCTCCCTTTTTTTTTCCCTTTCCCCTCATTTCCTCTTATATGTAATTTTGTATAACAATGAGGGTCTCCTTCCATTTCCATGCAATTTCCCTTCTCTCTCCCTTTCCCTCCCACCTCTTGTCCCTGTTTAATGTTAATCTTTTTCTCATGCTCTTTCTCCTTGCTCTGTTCTTAGTTGCTCTTCTTATATCAAAGAAGACATTTGGCATTTGTTTTTTTAGGGATTGGCTAGCTTCACTTAGCATAATCTGCTCTAATGCCATCCATTTCCCTCCAAATGCCATGATTTTGTCATTTTTTAGTGCTGAGTAATGCTCCATTGTGTATAAATGCCACATTTTTTTTTTTATCCATGCATCTATTGAAGGGCATATTGCCCTTCTCGAACTATTCCCAGAAGACTTTAAAAGAGCGTACTATAGGGATACTGCTACATCGATGTTCATAGCAGCACAATTCACAATAGCTAGACTGTGGAATTAACCAAGATAAATTTTTATTTTTTTTTTTAAATATTTTTTCAGTTTTCGGCATACACAACATCTTTATTTATATGTGGTGCTGAGGATCGAACCTGGGCCGCACGCATGCCAGGCGAGCTCACTACTGCTTGAGCCACATCCCCAGCCCCAAGATAAATTTTTCAAAAATGTTTTCAATTCACGTCTGGTTGAATCATAGATGTACAACCCAGGGATGCAGAGACCCAGTTTATTTTGCTTTGGGGTAAAAGGCCGTATCCATGCCTTCATGTCCAGGAAGGTTTCTAGAATCACTGCAGGAATGGACGCTCTCTGGCCTCCGTTACAGACTGAATCTAGTAATAAGGATGAGTTCTTACCGCAGTGTGATCCAGAGTCTCTAGGCAAAGATCTTCAAGGGTTACCCAGGAAAATAGTGAAGGGGTGGGTCAGCACAGCCCCTGCTCTGAGCCATCTGCTATCAGGGCTCCTGTGGAGAGGAATTTCTTTCCTGTAATTGGCTTCCTGGGGCACTGCAGTTCACACTCTTGCTCTGATTGATGATATGCAAATAAGAAAAGCCTAATATGTTGATCCTAGATCAGTCATTTGATTGGTGCCCTTGCTGGCCCTGTTCCCGCATCCCTCTCTCTGTCCCCATCTGTCTGTCTCTTTCTCACTTAAGGATGTGTGAATCAGGCTACCTTAAGAGGCTGAAGCTGATCAAACAGGAGGCAGGCAGCCCACCTGTTGCTATTGGTCTTAGAGCTGGGACTTCAAGTTAAATGTCACAGACACAATCTACGCACCCAAACGTGATGCTCAATAGCTGTTCTCTCTCCTGCTTGATTTGCTCCCTCACTTCCTGCCTTGTGGCAGGATGCCCTCCTTTGAATTTTGACACCTTGTTCTGTTGGCATTGTCTGCTGCTCTGCCTGTCCTCCCGGCTAGACTCTGAGCTCTTTAGAGACGGTGGCTGGGTCTCTTGTTCGTTGTGTACCCCGAGTGCTATGGCCGTTTTGATGCAGTGGGTGCTAAATACATGTTGAACCAAGCTGAACTGAAGCCCCAAAAGTAGGATTCTAAACTGTTTTTAAGCACGGATCCAAACCTTTGGTGTCCATTTTGAAGCAGCCACCAGAAAAGGGGGTGCACTTGGTGGGTCCTTGGGGGAAAGAGCCTTTTTAACGTATGGCACCTCTTCTGAGCAGCCTGAGGGAAAGTTCACCTTCCTCCTGGACCCCAGAATTTTTTTAGCCACCAGGCCCAGCGGGATCAAGGAAAAGTTCCTGAAGCTGAGATGCATGCCCTTGTCTCCCAGGACA